GCTAGTTCCTGAAATGGGATAGCTGCATACCTTTGCAATTTCAATGTGAAGTTCCGATGCGCGTTGCGCATCTTCTCACAAATGTGGCTGGTGCGACGTGGCATGGAGGTTGCGCGGGATTTTTGACGTGGTCCGTCAAGACGGCTTTGGAGTCGTTGGGGTATGGGGTGAACATGCCACGATTGTCGCCACGTGGCCTCCATTCCGTTCACGAAGGCTGTGGTGAGTTCGTTGTGGTACTGTTGCTACTCGTGATTCGCTCGCACATTTCGCCAGAGGCCCAAACGTGCGTGAAATCACACAAGTGAATGTGAACATGCCGAAACATGTTCACACCTGAAACTCGAGTCTTGGTCATGTTTGCAGTTCGCATGTAGCCATGGCCCAGTTTGACGAAGTTTCGCAAATCGGGTTTCGCGAAATTTGCGAAATTGGTAACCACAATAAGTTCGCACTTCTTTTTGAATTTCAAAACCGACCTCACGCGCCCTTAGTTCTGGTTCCGCCCTCCTGTTTCTTTTCTTCGCCCGCCCCCCTGTTTCCCGAACCTATCCAGGTACCCAACGCCCCCCCGCGCAGCCCAACTATGTTCGCCCTCACGAGCCTCCGCCAAACCACGATTTCGCCCAGTCCAACTCCTTTATATTGTAACCCGCTTACACGCTGCACCTGTGGCCTCCGCCGTCTCCCTCAGATAAGTCTCTCCTTCGCCTGCCCTGGAGTTCCTTTCAAAACTCTGCGATATTTCTTATCGTTACCGTATTGTCTCCCAGCTTTTTATTCAGTGTTATCGATTTCCCTTTTCCAACCCGGCTCATCGACCTGAATGCAAACCGCGGGGTTGTTAGGTTTCCGGGACTCAGTACGGACATTTAGGGCGCATATTTTGTTTTCAAAGTCGCTGATTGTGTGACGTACGTCCGGACGTGCGAGGCGTACGACGTCGCATGATCGCAGAGCGGCTCGTGCGACATTGTGCGGAGGCAGTACGACGATTACGACCACAAAACTGCCCTGAACGGTTATTCGTCCGGACCAAACAAATCAAAAGTGTTACGCGCCCTTACGATACAGGTGTATCGGACATGATAAGGTGGAAACGGACGTTTTCTAAAACGCCAGTCACAGTCCACGATAGCACGCGCCATGATAAATATTTAACCAATACCGTGCGGCAAAACAGGGGACGATCCCCGCAAAGCTGCTGGACATGACTGTGGCGTTGGCAGGCAGAAACAAACCACACATTGAGCACACGTCGACACGCAGCTCATCAATTGTGATTATCACAACCGATGTTGTCGGCGGACACTTGTCCGACTCGGACTCTCGCGTGCCCTAAGCTTCCAACATCCGCTCTCAAATCACAGGACAGCCTCGTTATTCCTCCCCCTCCCACCCCCTACTCCGAGTCCTGAGGCGCGTCTGTTTTAGTGTACTAAGTCGGCTGTGTAAGTGCCATCCTAACAGTGTTTTCAACTTGACTCGGAAGGACTCGATAGCAACGGAATCCCCCTCCAGGCAATGATGAGCCCACTCCTCATCCAACCAATCCCCCCCCTCCCCCCCACCCACCCTACTCCCCCAGTGTGGCATTGCCCTCACGTCCGAGAAGTTGCTTTTTGGGAGCCTGCAGGTGGGCCTGCTGCGGGTGGCCTGGATTTCGGCCTTCGGTTTGTTGTGACGATCTCTAGTACTATTCTAACAAGAAGTTTGATTCTGGGCGAACCTTTCTTCTCCTCTGAGATTGCATGTTGTAAGCGCTCCGTAGCAGTAGTTTCTAAGGAATGCTTCAAGTTGAAGCGTCTGATTTCTCGGCCATTTGTCCCTTATTGCGGGTGAGTCACCCGGGTAACCATACTTCGCACCCTAGATTTTCGTACTCCGAGGGCCAATCAGCACATTAGCTGGAGACAGCTTTTACATCACAATTTAGGGGATCTAACTGCAGGTTGCTCGTTAGCTTGGGGGTAAACTCACGCCCGCAGGGTTACTAATAGTACCTCGCTGAAGACCTTACCTGAACTGTCCCGCAAGTGTCCCAGAGTCACTCTGCCCAGTGTCCCAGACGGTCTGCCCTCGGGATTGTTTGGGGAGAGTACATTTTGACCCCGGGGGTCACCTAGAGGTTACCGCGCGGGAAGGTTGAGGGGAGATTTTGAGGGGGGGGGGGAGGGGAGAGGTGGAGGGGAGGAGGAGGAGGGGGGAGGGGAGCGGAAATGGGAGCGGGAGTGGGAGCGGGAGTGGGGGTGATTTTCTTGTTATAGCAGCGGTTGCTGTCCTCCAGTGGCGCCACTTACTTTACAAACTTTGTAGAGCATCACCAAAAAGGCGCTGTCCTAGAGGTGGTACAAGCTTGAAGCACAATGTTGCCTTCCCTGCCAGAAGTTTCATTCAGAAGTTCGACTTCAATGATCCCCATTGGCTTCGCGTCTGCAAGCACGACTGCAGAGTCAACACACAGAGAACTCATTACTGATGCTGGTCCGGCCGCCATGGCCGAAAGTGGGCGTCTCGAAACAGGCATTGGAAATGTTACTTCTAGTACCGCAGCTACTACCGCAAGCGGCATCAACAGAACGACTTGTGAACAAAGGAGTCAGAACCATCATGATCCCCGTGACCATGCTCCACACGGTGCGGATCAGAATAGCACAATACTATTTGGTGCTAGTTCTTCCAGTGCTGCCACTACCATTGCCATTCCATGCACTATAGCCTCTTCTTTTGGATGCCCTATGGCCAACACCAGCACTTCTCGTGCAAGTAACGCACTCGGCCTAGCACACACCATCCCAAGAAGCAGCTCACAACCACGATCCGATTAGCATGTCGACCGCCAATGGCATTGCTAATGCCAGCCTCAGAATGAGTTTCAGTAACTCCGGAGCTGTGGCTGCTACTGCTACCATCGCTGGAGCGTCCAGTCGCCTAGATAATACTATTAGGCATGGAGGCGACAACATGGCAAGCCTAGCTGCAAGCTTGTCCTTCTTGCGTGGTCTTAATTCTACTGCTTCTGTCGCAGCAGCAGCGGCAGCTGCTGCTTCTGCTGCTGCTGCATCTGGTTATACATTCCCTGGTAATACATTCCCGCTGCAGAGTGAAGAAACAGGAGCAGTGGCAGGTGAAGTTGTGGGGAGAGACGGAAGACCATGGGGCATAGACGGCACGGGGAACGGCCTGGGAGTGGAGGAGGAGCAGGAAGAACCATCCTTCGCTGCAGAGATAGAGTTCGAGAAGGCGCATATGACTGCAAATGATCGTATGATACATGGTGCAGATGACCAAGAGGGTATGGCGGTGGTAGAGACAGCAAAGACGCTGCCAGAGCAGCACATGAGAGCCTTCCCAAGCAATGCCAGTGATGTTGCTGACAGGGTGGGATCTTGTGCGTTGAAGCCTAATGGCGGCCCGTGCACCCCAGCATCCCTGTATGCTGTTACAGGTCCAAGTGTGGGGATGGAGGGTGCTTCTGGTCCGAACCCTCAGAGACTGTTGCGCAGTGGAGGAAGCAGACATGCAGAAAACCATTTCTCGCAGGCACAGTTCAACTCAGCAGCAGCAGCAGCAGCAGCAGCTCCAACCCCAGCAGCAGCACCAGCTTCAATCTCAGCAACAATGGTGTCCCACAGTAACTAACTTAAGCGATGTAGAAGGCACTAGGATTGCCTCTGAGCCCATGATTCAGTTTCAGCAGAACTCAACACCTCGTACGAGCCTCTTTGGCCCTACTAGGCCCTTTCCGTCACGCCATCCATTTGACCCGCCGCTGCATCATGCCCATGACCCTGCCCATGATCCGGACCTGCCCTTGCCCTCAGCACTACCCTGCCCACTTCCTCCGCCGATCTGCGCCTCTTCCCTCTTCACCTCCGTTCCATCTTTTCCTGTCCACGCGTCAGACAGTCAGCCTTTGAATATCCTGCCTCTTCCTCCGCCCCCATTCCCCCCCCTTGGGTCTCACCATGTAGAAGTGCCAAGGCCACCATCTTCCACATTTTCCTCTGCCACAGACTCACAAACAGTAGAAGCAGCAGCAGCTGCTGCAGCAGTAGCAGCCGCAGCAGTAGCAACCGCAACAGCTGCAAACACTGCTACCTGCAGCACGAGTTCCTCCCTTTCAAGAAGCAGTCAGGTGTTGCTTCCTGTACTGCCATCGGTGGGAGCAGCGCTTCCGTTTAGTCAAGGCCCGCAGGAATTCCACGATTTGGGGATGCAGCAGCAGCAGCTGCATCAGCAGCAACTCCAATCACTGATGTATCAGCATCATAAAATTTATTATCACACTCAACAGCAGCAAAACGAAAGGCAGCAACAGCCGGAAAACGAATTACAGCAGCAGCAGCAGCAGCAGCAGCAGCAGCAGCAGCAGCAGCAGCAGCAGCAGCAGCAGCAGGAGGAGGAGGATGAGGAGGAGGATGAGGAGGAGGAGCTATGGCGTCTGCAGCAGCAGCAGCAGTGGCATCAGCAGCGGCTAGAGGAGCTCCAATGTTTGTACTATATCCGGCAGCAGCAGCAAAACGAAAGGCAAAAGCAGCAGCAGCAGCGTATCCAAACACTGAACTATCATGACCGCCAACAGGAACAGCTGATCCAAATGCCGAGATCTCAGTGTCCGGATTGTCATTGTCACGTACAGCAGCAGCAGCATCAACATGAAAGGCAACATCAACCACGTAATGAAACACTGCAGCATCAGCATCAGACACAGCAGCAGCATCCGCAGCATCCGCAGCTTCATAGGCAGCATTTCAGTCCAGCACAACAGCAAAACAGAAGGCATCAGCAGCAGCAGCAGCCAATGCTCGGGCTTCCGATTGAAGCTGTTGGCGGCTCCCCTTTGGCTACTGCTTTCAGCCCCACAGGTCTGCATACGGCTGCTGCACAACCCTTTCCCTCTGTCAACTCAATTGCCGCTTCAGCGTTAAATCTTGAGCACGGACTTCGTAGGGCAATGGTAGCAGAAGCTGGGGAAACCCGCCCGAGTGGAGCTCCTAATGCCAGCAGTGGAAGCCTGGAAGTTTCTGGAGGAAACTTTCTGCCTGGCTACGGTGGTGGTGGCTTTGTCGGAGTTGGCGGTTGTGCTGGGGTTGGCGGTTGTGCCGGGGCTGGTGGTTGTGCCAGGGTTGGTGGTTGCATCGGGGTTGGTGGTTGCATCGGGGTTGGTCGTTGCATCGGGGTTGGTGGTTGCATCGGGGTTGGTCGTTGCATCGGGGTTGGTGGTTGCGCTGGGGTTGGTGGGTTTGGCAGGGTTGGTGGTTGCACGGGGGGCGGCGGTTGCATCGAGGTCGGTGGTTGTGCGGGGGTTGGTGACTGTGCTGGGATCTCTGGGAGTTCTAGCAATACAGGGACAGCCAGAATTGCCCATGTTACTGATTTCATGGAGTTCTTTTCAAGCCTTAAAGACCGTCATGGCCAGGAGGATTCCATGCCTTTGCCTCTCTCCACTAGAAGCCCTGCTTCCATGTATCATCCCATCTGCTCCTCCAACCCTGTCCTCGCCCTCCCCATGCACACACACGCAACTACAGCTGCTGCAACAGCAGCAGCAGCAGAAACAGTAGCAGCAGCAGCACAAGCAGAAACGTCAGCAGCAACAGAAGAAACAGCCGAAGAAATAGCAGCAACATCAGCAGCAGCAGCAGCAGCAACAGCAGAAGCAGCGACAACAACAGCAACAGAGCCAATGCAAGGAAGCAATTCTGGTGCAGCTTGCTCAGAAGGCATGTATCCAGCTTCAGATCACACAACCATACGTCCTGCCGTATCTGGTGAAGTTCTTACGTATCCAGGTGTTTCTGAGGAAGGCTTGTTTGAGAAAGGGCTGACTGTGGCTGAGATTTTAGAGGTGCTGCAGGACGATTTTATAGTGCACGGCAATGAAGATATTGCAGTGCCACAGGAGGGCCGCTTTGTGGGCCTGATGAAAAGTGCGGAGCAGGAGCTTGAGGAAGAACTGCAGCAGGAGCAGCAGCAGCAGCAGGAGCAGCAGCAGGGGCAGCAGCAGGAGAAGAAGCAGCAGGAGCAGGAGGAGGAGCTGGAGGAGGAGGAGCAGCAGCTAGAGCAGCTGGAGCAGCAGCAGGAACTTGAACCTCAAGAGACAAAACAGATGCAACAGCATAAGAGAAGAACACAGCAAGATCTAAGAGAGCTGAGGCAACAGGAAGAACAGCAGCAGGACTCGGAGCAACGGCCAATGTTAAAGGACACGTCTAGCAAGAGAAGAAGGGTGGATGTTACAGGAATCTCTCATTCCCCTCCGCCATCTTACCGCAAATCCCCATCCACAGCACAACAGAGTGGCAGCGGCACAAAACCTCTGAATGTGATGTGTCAGGCAGGGGGTTGCACAGCAGACCTGGGCAATGAGAAGAAGGGGTATTATCGACGGCATCGCGTGTGTGACGAGCACTTCAAAGCACCCGTGGTTCTTGTGGGGGGTCAGGCTCAGCGCTTCTGCCAGCAGTGCAGCAGGTGAGCTGCGCATGCCTGGGTCTCATCTCACGGCCTGCAAGTGATGCTGAATCTGTTTGGGGGTATGTAATGGTACCGTGGAATTTTCATCTGTGCCCTCTTTCCATCTTTTCTCTGCCCTATTTTGTAACTGTTTCTCGCAGATCAGCCCATCCATCATTGTCGCATGAGTTCGCTTCCTCCTCGTTTTCCTTATCCTCCATGGCCTTCATATTTACAACCCTCGCGTACTTCTTACGTTGAATTCTCCCTCCCTTTGTAAATCCTCACAGTTCCCATCCCTTTCCCCCTCTATCCCTCCCTCCTCCCTCCCTCCCTCCCTCCCTCCCTCCCTCCCTCCCTCCCTCCCTCCCTCCTCCCTCCCTCCTCCCTCCCTCCTCCCTCCCTCCCTCCCTCCCTCCCTCCCTCCCTCCCTCCCTCCCTCCCTCCCTCCCTCCCTCCCTCCCTCCCTCCCTCCCTCCTCCCTCCCTCCCTCCCTCCCTCCCTCCCTCCCTCCCTCCCTCCCTCCCTCCCTCCCTCCCTCCGTCCCCCTCTCCATCCCTCCCTTCGTTCCTTCACCCCTAACCCACCCACGGCTCCTAACTTGCTGGCTCCACGCACCACAGGTTCCATGTGCTGGGTGAGTTCGATGAGGGAAGGCGCAGCTGCCGCATGCGCCTCCATCTGTCCATCCATCCACCCCCTCCCACGACCCTTCTCTTCCGCCCTCCATGCACCACAGGTTCCATGTGCTGTGTGAGTTCGATGAGGGAAGGCGCAGCTGCCGCATGCGCCTTGTTTTTGGAGATGTCTCAATACCCCATCCACGGCTCCTACCTTGCTCCCTCCACGCACCACAGGTTCCATGTGCTGGGTGAGTTCGATGAGGGAAGGCGCAGCTGCCGCATGCGCCTCCATCCGTCCATCCATCCACCCTTCCTCTATTCTCCCCACTGCTCCTATCTTGCTGCCTCCTCTATTCCTTGCACCACAGGTTCCATGTGCTGGGTGAGTTCGACGAGGGCAGGCGCAGCTGCCGCATGCGCCTCCAGGGACACAACAGCCGCCGCCGCAAGTCACATGCCAAGGCGAGTCAGCAGGAGTAGCAGCAGGCGCTGCAGAAAAATGTCCACCACCAGAGCAGCAGAGGGAGGGGCTGATGGAGGCGCAACCAACCTGCGTAGCTTGCTGCAAGCCATCTCTTGCTGGGTACAAACAAATGAAGGTTTTTCTGGGTCACTTTTCTTAGTAATCGATACAGACTGTCCTCCGCGCAAGACTCTGTCATTTTCTAGTGCTCCTAGATTGTTGAGAGCAGCTTGTGTTGTGAAGTGCCGGAGAGAGCGATTTGTTGTGTCACGATTGGATTGTTGTGTAATGATTGGATTGTTGTGTAATGTAGCCGCTGCAGCGTTTCATGGGCAGGGCCATGCCGAGCAAAGTCCATTATCCACGTCAAAATATGCACTGGCTGATTGGCACTGATTCTGTTGGGGTTGGCCGGGCTGGGTGGGTTGGTTTAGAATGGGATGGGGATATGATCTGGTGTGATGGAATGGGTTTAGAGATGCAAATCACTTGAGAGATGGCTTTGTCAAATATTATTATAGGTTCTTAGGCTACAGTGAGTAGCATACTAGGGAGTACGAATGTTCTAGGGTTGCTTTTGTGTCTCCCTCGACACTAGTCTCACCATTCCGTTGCACATCTCTCTAACTCTAAGATGGACCCGTAGCCCAGGCCCGCGCCTAGCCCGTCGCCCAGGCCCGCGCCTAGCCCGTCGCCCAGGCCCGCGCCTAGCCCGTCGCTTAGGCCCGCGCCTAGCCCGTCGCCCAGGCCCGCGCCTGAGGCGTCCACTCCGCGCTGGGCTCGCCTGTTAGCTCGTAAGATTCCTGTATTTGATTTGTCCATAAACGATGCTCGTCAGTATGCTTTGTATGCTGATGTTGACTATAGTGCTGATGGATCTGTGTGCTCGCGTGTTCGTAGGTTAGCTTGCTTGCCTCCTGCTAGCGTAGATCTGTGCCTCTCTAGTCTAGGTGCTTGTGTTTCAGCTCTAGATGCTTGTATAGCCTCCACACCGGGTTCACCATAGGCAGTGGCGTCCTTTTCGTTCACGTTGGACTCTGGCGCGTCGCAGTGCTTCTTCCGCGACCACAAGACACTCACACCGCTCCTTGCTCCGGTACCGGTAGCCCTGGCTGATCCTTCCTCAGGTCCAGCCGTGGCACGCAGCTCTACCACCCTCCCGTGCCCTGTGGTCCCCTCTGGTGTCCTGCGTGGCCTCCACATCCCCTCGTTCACTCGGAACTTGGTGGGTGTTGGATACCTCCAGGACAGGGGGATCACGGTTACCTTCTTGGGGGGTGGGCGGACTGCAGTCTGTACAGACTGTCAGAATGTTATTGTCTAGCCTGCAGTGGGGTGCTCAATAGTGAGTACAACCCCTTAGGGTTTCCTATATGTATCCTGCTGCTTGCTAGTTCATCATCATTCCCATTCTCACAATTCTCCTTCGTATACCACAAACCCTAGTCCTAGGGCACAACCTACTACCTCCTAGTGTGGGCCTAGGCTACTAAGCCTAGGCCCCACTCCTAGTATTCCTGACATGGTATCTAGAGCGAGTACGTTCCTGCCGCTTGCCTCCATGGGCCCACCACATGCTTCCGCTGCCGTACCGTCCGCCGCGCGCCCCGTGGTGCGCGGCGGCGAAACCCTAATTTTTCATCCCGCCGCGCGCTCGGGGCGTACGGCGGTTTTCTGCCCGCCGTGCGCCCCGAGGCGCGCGGCGGTTTTCTGCCCGCCGTGCGCCCCGAGGCGCGCGGCGGCTTTCTGCCCCGTCACTCCGCGAGTCGCCCCCGGGAGGAGCTGCGACGGGCGACGGGGACCCGCGCGTCGCCCCCCGTCGCCCGTCGTGGCCCGTGCGACCTCCGTAGGGCCCGCGCGCGGCCCGTCCAGCCTGCGCGCGGCCCGTACGGGCTGCGCCAGGCCCGCGCGCGGCCCGTACGGGCTGCGCCAGGCCCGCGCGCGGCCCGTACGGGCTGCGCCAGGCCCGCGCGCGGCCCGTACGGGCTGCGCCAGGCCCGCGCGCGGCCCGTACGGACTGCGCCAGGCCAGGGCGCACCTCGAGCCGCCCGCCACTGCAGCAGCAGCCCCTGGAGCCGCCCGCCACTGCAGCAGCAGCCCCTGGAGCCGCCCGCAACTGCAGCAGCAGCCCCTGGAGCCGCCAGCACCTGCAGCAGCAGCCCCTGGAGCCGCCCGCAACTGCTGCAGCAGCCCCTGGAGCCGCCAGCAACTGCAGCAGCAGCCCCTGGAGCCGCCAGCAACTGCAGCAGCAGCCTCTGGAGCCGCCAGCACCTGCAGCAGCAGCCCCTGGAGCCGCCAACAACTGCAGCAGCAGCCTCTGGAGCCGCCAGCACCTGCAGCAGCAGCCCCTGGAGCCGCCAGCACCTGCAGCAGCAGCCCCTGGAGCCGCCCGCACCTGCAGCAGCCCCTGGAGCCGCCAGCAACTGCAGCAGCCGCCCCTGGAGCAGCCGCCCCTGCAGCAGCCGCCCCTGGACCTCCGAAGCCGCCCCTGGACCCGGTACGCTCTGCTGCTGCCCGATGCTGCCCGAGCCTGTGCCTGTGCCTGCTGCCCGCGCCCTCGTGCGCTCTACCTACCTACCTACCTACCTGCGCCCTCGTGCCTTGTGCCTTGTGCCTTGTGCTTCGTGCCTCGTGCTTCGTGCCTCGTGCCTCGTGCCTCGTGCATCGTGCGCCCTGCTCCGCGCTGTTGCTCTGCACGCGCGGTTGCCCGCGCCCTCGTGCGCTCTACCTACCTACCTACCTACCTGCGCCCTCGTGCCTTGTGCCTTGTGCCTTGTGCTTCGTGCCTCGTGCCTCGTGCCTCGTGCCTCGTGCCTCGTGCATCGTGCGCCCTGCTCCGCGCTGTTGCTCTGCACGCGCGGTTGCCCGCGCCCTCGTGCGCTCTACCTACCTACCTACCTACCTGCGCCCTCGTGCCTTGTGCCTTGTGCCTTGTGCTTCGTGCCTCGTGCTTCGTGCCTCGTGCCTCGTGCCTCGTGCATCGTGCGCCCTGCTCCGCGCTGTTGCTCTGCACGCGCGGTTGCCCGCGCCCTCGTGCGCTCTACCCTACCTGCTCCGCGCTGTTGCTCTGCACGCGCGGTTGCCCGCGCCTTCGTGCGCTCTACCCTACCTGCTCCGCGCTGTTGCTCGGCACGCGCGGTTGCCTGCGCTCTCCCGCCCCGGCCCTCCCCCCCCCCCCCCCTGCGTCCCCTGGACAGGAGAGTGTGGGGGTGGCGGGTGTGGGGGTGCTCCGTGTGCGTCGCCCCTTCCTTCTCCTCCGTCTCCCACTGCTGCAGCTGCCGCTGCGGGGGGGTGGATGTGTGGGAGACGAGGGAGTGGCGCTAGGGGGGTGATGTGGGCGTGGAGCGAGTGGTGACCCTGGGGGTGAGTGTAGGGGGGAGTGAGACAGTTGGAGGAGGTTGCAACCTGGTGCTCCTGGTGCCCGTGTGTCTGCAACTTCAGTCGTCGCCTCCTCTCATCTCTCCCTCCACAGTTCCTCCTCCTCCTCACTGGCCTCCTGTGACTGCCACTAGCTTTGCTCATATTTGTGAACTATTGCACTGCCTGCTCATTGTACTGATTGCACCCCACTTTGGCTATGGGGGTGTGTCAGAATGTTATTGTCTAGCCTGCAGTGGGGTGCTCAATAGTGAGTACAACCCCTTAGGGTTTCCTATATGTATCCTGCTGCTTGCTAGTTCATCATCATTCCCATTCTCACAATTCTCCTTCGTATACCACAAACCCTAGTCCTAGGGCACAACCTACTACCTCCTAGTGTGGGCCTAGGCTACTAAGCCTAGGCCCCACTCCTAGTATTCCTGACACAGACGCTGTCACTGGTAGAGTTTTGGCCACGTTCACTAGGGAGCCGCACTCCGGTCTCTACGTCCTCCACACCGAGCACTCCCCGGTTTCCACGTCCGCTCAGGTCGCTGCGTCCCCCCAGGTTCCTGTGTCTCCACCAGTTGCCGAGTCCAGTCAGGTCACTGCGTCTCCTCCGGTTGTCGCGTCTGGTCAGGTCGCTGCGTCTTGCTCGTGTCGATCTTTCACCCACCAGACGGTTCTGTGGCACCACCGTCTTGGCCACCCGTCGATCCCCCGCCTCCGCACTATGGCTAGTCACCGTCTTGTCACAGGTCTCCCTAGAGTCTTCCCGTCGCTCCCTCCCTCGCCTGCACCGCCGTGCACTCCTTGTGTCGCCGGCCGCCTTCGTGCTACTCCGCACTCCTCCTCCCTTCGTCCGGCCGCTGCTCCCTTCCAGACGCTCCACTTGGACGTCTGGGGCCCTGCACCTACGCAGGGACCTGAGAGGGAGCGCTACTTTCTTGTGGTCATCGACGACTACTCCAGGTACACCACGGTGTTTCCTCTCGCGAAGAAGTCCGAGGTGACTTCTACGCTGATCCGGTGGCTTCTAGCCACTGAGGGCACTCGTGGTCGTCGTGTCTCCTGTCTCCACTCCGACCGTGGGGGTGAGTTTCGCTCAGGCATTCTTGCCGGATTCTGCGGCGAACAGGGCATCGTACAGTCCTGGACGCTGCCGGAGTCCCCACAGCAGAATGGGGTTGCTGAGCGCCGCATTGGCTTGGTCATGGACATCGCCCGCACGTCCATGATTCATGCCCGTGCGCCCCATTTTCTGTGGCCCTACGCGGTTCGCTACGCCGCGCACCAGCTGAACCTCCAGCCGCGAGTCTCGCGGCCGGAGGCTTCACCGACCAGTCTTTGGACCGGGTCCCCTGGTGTCGGGTCGGCCTTTCGAGTCTGGGGCTGCCTTGCGCAGGTCCGCGACACCTCTGCGGACAAGCTCTCGGCTCGCGCCATCCCCTGTGTCTTCCTTGGTTTCCCAGTAGATTCGGCCGACTGGTCCTTCTACCACCCGCCCCTCCACCAGTTCCTAGACTCTTGTGACGTCCGGTTCGACGAGTCCGTGTCCTACTACACTCGCTACCCCTGTAGAGGTCTCCCGGTTCCCCCTCCCCCCCTCTTCCTCGCACCTTCTCTTCCCCCTGCTCCCGCTCCTCCGGTACCCCCA